GCCTGACGGCACTACATAGACCTCCTGTACTCTCTACTGCTGTTTCTAGTCACCCCCACGACTCCTTTTATATTGTTTCTTCAAAATCTATCACACTCCTCCAAAAAGGAACACTTTGAAGACACATCAGATCTCGATGGGGAAAATCTCATGCTGGATATCTATACTGATATGGACTGGGTAATGTGTTAGGAATGTAAGGAACCCCCATCGTTTGATGGAAATGAAAATTATCAACCTACAGAGGACTGAATTCAAAGACACCCTGAAAATCAAAGTGAAAAAATGATGCATCAGGCTAGTCCATTTTACTGAAATTTCATTGCAGCAACTCAAAATGGTACTCAGTAGTTTGTATGGTCCCCATGTGCTTGTATACATGTCTGCCAACATCAGGGCATGCTCCTAATGAGATGACGGATGGTGTCCTGGGGTATTTCCTCCCAGATCTGGACCAGGCCATCACTGAGCTCCTGGACAGTCTGAGGTGCAACCTGGCAGTGTCGGATGGATTGAAACATAATATCCCAGAGGTGTTCTTTTGGATTTAGGTCAGGCGAGTGTGGGGGCCATTCAATGGTATCAATTCCTTCATCATCCAGGAACTGCCTGCATACTCTCACCACATGAGACCAGGCATTGTCGCTCACCAGGAGGAACCCAGGACCCACTGCACCAGTGTAGGGTCTGAAAATGGGTCCAAGGATTTCATCCTGATACCTAATGGCAGTTAGGGTGCCATTGTCTAGCCTTAGAGGTCTGTGCGTCCCTCCATGGATATGCCTCCACAGACCATCACTGACCCACCACCAAAACGGTCATGCGGAATGATGTTACAGGCAACATAACATTCTCCACAGCTTCTCCAGACCCTTTCACTTCTGTCACATGTGCTCAGGGTGAATCTGCTCTCATCTGTGAAAAGCACAGGGTGCCAGTGGCGGACCCGACAATTCTGGTGTTCAATAGAAAATGCCAATCGAGCTCTATGGTGCTGGGCAGTGAGCACAGGGCCTACTAGAGGACGTCAGGCCACCCTCATGAAGTCTGTTTCTGATTGTTTGGTCAGAGACATTCACACCAGTGGCCTGCTGGAGGTCATTGTGTAGGGCTCAGGCAGTGCTCATCCTGTTCCTCCTTGCACAAAGGAGTAGATACCGATCCTGCTGATGGGTTAAGGACCTTCTACAGCTGTCCAGCTCTCCTAGAGTAACTGCCTGTCTCCTGGAATCTCCTCCATGCTCTGAAGACTGTGCTGGGAGACACAGCCAACCTTCTGCCAATGGCACGTATTGATGTGCCATCCTGGAGGAGTTGAAAGAAATGTCAGTGGCCTCCACCTGTAAAACCATTCCTGTTTTGGGGGTCGTCTCATTGTTGTCCATCTAGTGCACCTGTTGTTAATTTCATTAACACCAAAGCAGCTGAAATTGATTAAGAACCCCCTCTGCTACTTAATTGACCAGATCAATATCCCAGGAGTTTAATTGACTTAATGCTATTCTCTGACTAAAAAGTGTTCCTTTAATTCTTTTGAGCAGTGTATAGAATAGATATAAATCCTAAAGGGACAGTCATATCTCCCATTGCAATGTAAAAGTGTGTCCAGCAGCGATAACCACAGGTAATTGCAGACTGCGCGGCCACCACTGACCTGTCATTGAAGTGTACAGTGCTCAGCGGTCACAGCTAGTTGCTCACAGTTGGCAAAAACAGCTGCACAAATCAGATTTCTGCCACTGCCTTTCACAACGGCACTAGTCACCCATGAGATTTAGCTTTTAAAGCTCATTCACACTTGTGTGACATGTCATGCAACTTTGGGGTCCTGAGTCGCATCCCATGTTTCCCAATGAATACCATTCATATCTGTGCGATTTCAGAGTAGTTCCTGTACTACTTTGGTCCGACTTTCATGCAATTTGAGGGTCATAGACTTCAATGTAAACAATCCAAAGTCATATGAAAGTTGCACCTGAATGATATACATGCGACTTGTGTGTGACTTTGTAGAGCACAAACAGTCATCCTTGGTCAAAGCCAAAGTTACACTCATCCAAAGTCGCATCGACAATCACAAGATTTTGAAGTTTGAATGGAGCATAAAACGGAACTAAACCCATAGTCCCACACCAATCCGACTTTGAAATCATGCAACTTCCAGTGATGTCATTCCAACTTGAGGTGCGACTTGCAAAATAGCTGCGGCTTGCAAGACACAGATGCATGCACTACTTTAGAAATTAGTACGGCTCCAACCGAGTCGGAATCACCCCGATATGACCGCTTTAATTGTGGACAATAGGGTGCAACTTGACATGCGATTTAAAACTCGCATGGCAAGTCGCACACGGTATGACCGGGCACAAATGTAACTGTTTCCCAAAATGCATTCAAGGCATTTTTTTTTTTAAATCAAATATTTTATGGGGTATAATTTACCCTGTACTGCAACCCAGTGCAAAAAAAAAAATAGACCACATAACAATACAATCCAATTATACAATAAATCGCATTCACTCAGTGGGATGATGCGAAATGTGCAAATTAGGGAAAAATTATTTTTTTTGGTGACGGGTTCTCTTTAATGAGACACGCAGGGTTTAAAAAACCCTTCATGTCTCCCCTATCCACTGAATGTAATGGAGTGTGATCATATCACACTGCATTACATTCTTTCCTGGCCATGTTGGCCAGGGAAACTGTTAACAGGGACCCGAAAGTGATGTCATACACGTTGCCTCCGGTCCAGTCCAGTCTCCTCCCTCCCCTCTACTCTGCAGCACCCCGCTATGCCGGTAGGGGGCGTGCGCGGTAGGGGGGGAACATTACCCAACTGTGTGGAAGCACGGGTATGCTTTTGCCTAACAAGTGTAGAAAAAAACTACATGCCCGACGCCCAGAACTTAATTTCCTTGACATTGGGCAATACAAACTGCACATCCCTACAACAGTGAACAGACTGACAAAAGCCCAAGCTCCAAGATGCAATTTCTAGTCGCCATGACAACCTGGCCCCTGGCATTTGTTGAGCCCTGCTTTAGGATGTATATCTAGTTTATATTATATTTTGAATAAGTAATAGAAAAGGAGTAATGGGAAAACCCCGGGGTGAACAGAAGAGAAATCCAACTCAAATCAATATTTGGTGTGACCACCCTTTGCCTTCAAAACAGAATCAATTCTTCTAGGTACACTTGCAGACACTTTTGGAAAGAACTTGGCAGGTAGGTTGTTCTAAACATCTTGGAGAACTAACCAGAGATCGTCTGTGTATGTAGAGGCTGCCTCAAATCCTTCTGTTTGTTCATGTAATCCCAGACAGACTCCATGATGTTGAGATCAGGGCTCTGTGGGGGCCAGACCGTTACTTACAGGACTCCTTGGACTTTTTAACACAGAAGATAACTATCTTAATGACCTTGGTTGTATGTTTGGGGTCGCTATCCTGCTGCAGAATAAATTTGGGACCATTCACTCGACTCCCTGATGGTATGGCATGATGGATAAGTATCTGCCTGTATTTTTCAGCATTGAGGAGGGGGAGGAATTAATTATAGGAAGTTCAAGAAGGGGGTAAAGGTCCGCTTTAAGTATCTGTGTTGTCTAAAGCACCCAGTTGGATTACTTAATAACTTTTCAGGCTGCAGCAAAAAAGACAGCTGGAATCTGATTGGATGCTTTGAAAAGTCATATTACTTTCAGATACATTGTGCAGTTCTCCTTCCTTCCAAGATGCAAAGTTTTGACGTTTCCATTTATTGATGCCATACAAACAATTTCAAAATGTGTGCACTTCTGTTTTTCAGTTATTATAATGATACAGTTTGTTTATGTGGACACATGAAATCTGAATTGCACAGTTTATACATTTTTTACATTTGCAAAAGATGACAATTAAGAATATATAATTTACCATATGTATTTTTTTTTATTTCTAGGATAGATGTATATTGCCAAATCAACTAATAAAGAATATCTGCAGAAACATTTCTATTATGCACTAGCAGGCGAGCAGGAACTTTGTCAAGCAGTAGGTAATATTTTCACACTGCTGTTTTTGTTTTTTATGTTTTTTCTTTTTTTACAAGATTTGTTTTACTTAAAATGGAAGTAGACCCAATTTTTGTATCTTTTACCTACAGGTAAGTCTTTAATAAGGCTTACCTGTAGGTACTGTAAATATCTCCTAAACATGCACTCCTTAGCAGATATTTACCGTAGAGGTGCCGGTGATGTCACCAGGACATGCACACTGCGCTCTCAATGGATGGCCATCCATTAAGAGAGCTGTGCCGTGGCCGAAACTCCTGCACACATGCATGGGAGTGACAACATTGCTGCTCAGCCAGTCAGATGGCCGCAGCTCGCAAACCTGGAAGGAAAACCGGGTGAAGATGGAAGCTTCGGGGAGCCGTGACAGTGCTCCACTGGAGGGCTTCGTTTTCAGGTAAGTCTTTCATAATGTGATAGTATGCAATGCATACTAGCACATTATGTTCTTAATTTTCAGGGTGATTTTTTGGGGGGCAGTTTACTACCGCTTTAAAGCAGAGTTCCAATCGCTTTTGTGTTTACTAAAAGTCAGCAGGATCCAGCGATGTGCTCACCTGCTCCGTCCCTTCTCTCCCTGGCGCCAGCATCTCAGTGTGGGCACCCGGATGTGATAGCTTGCGGCTTCACAGCCAGGTGCCCAATGCACATGCGCGTGTCATGCTGCGCCTCCTGAATGGTCCTGCAGTCCAGAAAACTCAAGGGGGGCAAACTTCCGGCTCAGTTCGCCTCAGTGAACTGAGCCTGAAGTGGGAAAAGGTACCTGTCAAACTCAAGTGTCCAATCATCCCTCTCCCCTAAAAAGTGCCAAATGTGGCACTAGAGGTGGAAAGGTGGCAGACAAGCCTCCCCTTTTGGGTGGAGCTCCCCTTTAGCTCTGCATGGCATCAGTGTAAAGAAATGACTGGAGAATGTAAATATGATTGCTTTTCCTATTTCAGAATGTCATGTCAAACTACTATTTATTTGTCTGGCAACTGAGCATATTTTTCATTTTATTTCATAGTGCATTAGATGAAACAACGTATGAAAGATTGGTAGCAGATACACTATATGCCCTTGCTGAGTTCTTTGAGGACCTGGCTGATCAACCTTTTACACCTGTTGATTATGATGTCTCTTTTGGGGTATGTTTCTTCTGTTCATTAAACATTTTCACGATATCCAAAATGTAGAGCATCTAAGAAGAAATCCTCAATAATGCTAAAAAAGTATTGTTCTTTGATAGTTAAAGGATACATGCTCATTAACCACTTCACCAAAGCATTTTTTTTTAATTTTGTTTTGAATTTTTCAACATTATTTGGCTATAAAAGTATTTAACCCCCCCCCCCCCCCCCATACCACGGGAACATTTTTATATTTTCTGAAAGCAGAAGCCTTGTAGAATGAAGGATGGTAATTGTAGTTTTGTATGCTGCACGATATTTTGCAGCTCTTCAGTTTAGAGTAACCTGTATATGAGGGACCTAGTATTGTTGCTCTCGCTATGGCGTGTGCAACAATCACACATGTGGCGCAATCATTTGCATAAAATGGGGTGCTTTTACATTTGTTGTTGTTAAATGTTTCTATTCATTTTATTATATTTTGAATATTTTTATGTATTTATTTTACATCTACTTTCATTGCTGTCGGACGAGGGCTAATATGCCTCACATTTGATTGCACTGGGCAGGTGACAATATCTCTTTGTGGAGACAACAGGGGTGTATGAGATCCCTCTGCCCTCCACTCTAACCAATCCAGCACACACTGTTGCTTGATCTGATGTGTACCTGGCTTTCTAACCAGGGTTTTGGCAGCTTTGAGAGTGGACATTCCCAAAGCAAATAGCTTATGTGTTCACACTGCACAGAGGAGATTGGGGAATGGAGCAGTAGAGCCCAGGAACCACTGAGTGGGGGTTTTCAGGCTGTTCTGTTCTACAGCCATTCAGATCAGTGTTACAGATTAGCGCTGAGACAGCAGCACAATGTGGAAACAAGCTCACAGCTTCTATGTATGTCCAACCGATGCCGAACCAATTAACCTACTTACTACAACTACACCATATTGTTCAAATAAAAAGCAATAGAGTGGCGAATGTCTATTTTATCTCAGAAGATTGTTTTGAAAAAGAGAGCTGGGTGAATTCCTAAATGTACAAAATGTGACTGGTTAATAATATTTGTTTTTTATAACATCAGAGTCTCTTGACCCTGCCAAATCAAGCTCTGGTGTCCACTTCATTAGCCACTTTAAGACTAAACCTTCTTCTGACACTTTTTGTGTACAAGTTAAAATCAGTATTTTTTGCTAAAAAAGTTACTGTGATCCCCCAAACATTATATATTATATTATAATATTTTTTTTCAGAGATCCTAGAGAATAAAATGCCAATCATTGCAGTTTTTTTTATGTCACATGGTATTTGCACAGCAGTTTTTCAAACACAATTTTTTGGGGGTAATTACTGTCAGCTCTCCCCACAAACCCAGATCTTTGATCGTAAGTGATTGGCAAAATTCGTCCACAGCCAATTGCTATTTGCACCTCATCAGTGAAAACCTGACTACAGTCAAAATGTAAAGTCAGACAAGTTGTCACTAGGACAGGAAGTGAGTGTAAATCTGCCTTATGAGGAAACAGCAATATAAGCCCTTCCACCTTCTACTGGAAAATCTGTAGAGGTGATTTCTCCTCACTTCCTGTTCTATGCGTGTGAAGAGAAATCTTCCAAATGGGGATACTGATACCATTGGTGCAATGGGGCATCATTTTTCTCAGCTCACACAGGTTGGCCTCGTGTGACAAAACCTGGTGGTTGAAGCACATTTTTAAAGTGGTTGTAAACCCTTCCATATACCCAGTGAAGTGATTGGCCTCAGGTGATACACAGAGATTAAACAAATCCTTCTATATAAGTTGTACCTGTTTTCTGTAGCCCTCTTTCCCCTACATCCTTTCAAAGTGCAGAATTTACATAGAATCTCTCAGCTCTGAAAAGCAGGGGCTGAAGTTAAACTCTACGGAGATTAGTGAGGAGAGCTGCTCACAGGAACAGAGCTGAGGCTGTCAATCACAAGCTGTGTGCGGGGGGGACCCTCCCCTGTCACCATTTTTCTCTTGGTGTCAGGAAAACTTGTCAGAAGTGATTCATGCTCATAGTGTCATTTCTGTCTGTTGCCTCATTCCTCTGCTAAGTGCTCTGCATAGAAATAAGTATACACTATGCATTTTGCATTTGACAGGTGATACTGTCTGCCAGCGTCCTTCATAGACATGCATGGGGCTGCACTGCAACTGCGTCTAATAGACACCACTAGGGCATGGGTGTGTGGGAGGCGACATATTGCCTCCTGATCGCCTAACTGCGGGCCAGCCGCTGCTGACAAAGCTATCCACAGCAAATCTTGAATCAGCAGTGTTTCCCATTTGAAAGAAGCCTTAGGCTAAGTTCACACTTGCAAATAAATCTAGCGCTGACACTAAAGCGAACCAACACACCTATTGCATTAATGCGTGTTTTTGGTGCATTTAACGTGCATCAGAAACACAACCCAGACACCCTCCAAGTGATTTTTTTTTCCACTTCAGTTATCAAATGCTGCAGTTGCAATCCCATAGACTTGAATGAAAGGATTTGACAAGCTCCTACCAGACTCAACACACAGTTTCTTTTTTTTTCAATGTAAAGCAACACAAGCGCTTTTTTTTTTTTTTTCAAATGTGAACAGCTCTTTCTGCTATCTATATTTATCCATGGTATTTTAGGCATTCAGGGAGTGGCAAAAATATGCCTGTAATTCAATGTGAACTGGGCCTTAGCCCTGGTTCACATTGCTGTGACTTCAGGTGCGACATGCGGTTTACATTTTGCACCTGAAGTCTCACCTAATGTATTTCTATGGCACTGTCTTAATAGGTGCAATTTAGCGCAATTTGAAAAATAGTTCCTGCATTACTTTTTCACCACTTAATTTAACTCTCATAGCCTGTAAGGTAAATGGCACTGAAATTGCACCGGTGTCTATATCAGCGTTACTTTGAAATCGGTCTTTAAATGGGACCAAATTGCACCACTTTGAAATCACATTCGGTGTGAATCAGGGCTTAGTGTGTTAATGTATATTGTGTTGCAGCATATTGTGTTGCAGCACCCGTCTCTTCACAGGTGCGTTGGGGTACCATTTAGAATGAGGCCTTGTGCACACAAATGTGTTACAAATGCTGCTTTTAGAGGCAGCTAGCATTTTTTTTTTTTTTTTGCCTTTTAAGGCAACATATGCGTTTTTGCCTCATTTCTGTGACAAAGGACATGTGACTCATAAAATGCACCAGACCACAGACACATTTTTTTGTGTTTTATGGGCTGGTTCACACCATGCCCACAGCTGAATTGCACAGGATTGCACTGTGCTCTCCTTTGTGATTCATATATGGTTCTGTGTGGTGCGATTTCAAACCCATTCATTTTGAATGGGCTAAAATCGCAGTGCACCAAAAGTAGGGGTGTTGTTAACTTTTTATTGGCACCCTCTGCAGATCACATATGTACTGTGTTTTGCATGTGGTTTGAATCACACACGGATGCACAGCACGTTCCTGTGTGATTCAGCTGCAGGCACGGTGTGAACATACCATTCATTCCAATGGGGAGGTACGCTATTGGTGCATTTTATTGGTTTGTTTTTATTTTTTGCTTGATTATTTTTACTGCATCAAATGTGCACCAAAATGCAGCTTGCAGGACTTTGAAAAATGCAACTGACCCACAACTGTTCAACGTGTAGAGTTCCATAGGATTTAACGGTCATGCGGTTTTCTTCCACTTTTTTAACACAAAAACGGAAAAAAAGCTAATTCGTATGAAAGCATCCTAAATGCCTCTCCATGTTATCCTATGTGTCCAAGCAGACATAGGTGTTTAGAGGCAGAAAAAGCGTTTTAGCAGAAAAAAATGCTTGACGCATGTAAAGACGCGTTAATGCTAGTCGTGTCAAGTGCTTGACTGTTAATTATTTTCAATGGCCAGAATAAATTAATTCTGGCCATTGAAATGAATTAATGCTCTAGTGCTTGATGAGCCTAAATGTGTCTAGACACATTTACACACGTCAAGAGTTTTTCTGTAAAAAAGCTGCTGCCAGGGGGAAGGCATTTAGGAGAGCTGGGCAAACACCCTGTGTGCATAGGGCCTTAATCGTATCACACCAATGCATTTAACCTGCATTAATGCTGGTTTATCAGGACCCGTTCACATGGGGCGTATCACTGTGGGCAAGGATTGTCTTTGCCCACTTGGGATGCATCACCCCATTCATGTCAATTGGCACACAGTGACATCTCTCAAATGGGGAGATGGACAGCAATAAAAACACTTTTTTCAGACCACTGGTGTCCCAGAGGCCCACATTCCCCTCATATCCTGTTCTGGTGTCACTGAATCATACTACCCAATTATGTCACAGACAGCAATACAACTTCAGAAGTTCTAATCCTTTCCCACTGTTTCCAAAACTAAAAAATCCATTCTGTCTGGAGTTGGATACTGTTCAGAAAATTAACACCTTAGTCAGGTCTTTGTCCAGCATGATGTATGGAGTGCAGGGGTTAGGAGTAAGTAAAAAAACAAAACATGGAGTGCAGCAGTCAGGATGAGCATCACATTCACATTAGAGTCCTCACTTGCATCAAAGTCCCCAGCATTTCCCATATACTTATCAGAGTCCCCCCTTGCGTCAGGTCCAGCATACAGGCTGGGTTGATGTGAACGGAGTTTGTTTCTAAGATGCTATGGGCAAAGTGCACATTGTATAAACTCCAGTCTACCCCACTGACTGATATTACTAGAGTAATAGATTAAAGATTAGCAGTGGGACACTCGGACACTCCAGGGACACGCTCGGGAGAAGTGCTGTGTGGGGTCTGAGCTGAGGCCAGATCCCACAGCCAGGACTCCCGCTGAGTCCCTGTAGGCCTGCTGGAAAGCTGATCATTGTTGGTCCCCTGCTCGAGAAGAGAACGGCTGTGTGGGGTCTGAGCTGAGGCCAGATCTCACAGCCCAGACCACGCTGAGGGTCCCTGTCTGCTGATCGCTGTGTCCCTGGGAAGCTGCCTCTGCCTGCTGACCACTGTGTCCCTA